TGTGGTGCCCACCTTTGTGAGAATCTGCTCCACCCCATACCTAAGTGTCCAACAGCATGCAGGCCTTCCCCTGACAACACGAATCCAGGTTCTACAACCAGTAGCATCTCTGATGAGCCAACTTTCCTTATTCACTTCACCCTTGTTTTCATATCGCTGGGTGATGTTTTCTGTGAGGCGCTCCAGTGGCCTGAGGGGCTACTCTGTGCTTTACCACTTGTATGACTGTGACAGAAGCATCACCACAAAAAGGGTAGGTTCCATATCTCCTTGACCCACCTAATGAGGGCAGAGCTGAGTAGCAAGGAAAAGCTGTGGAGCACATGGACAGTCACAGGCAAGGAGGCACAGGAGGAGAGACACTTGGAGAGCGTTACATGAGGTGGAGGCCTGCTTTTTTCTCAGCTTTGGACCTGCACTGGAGACATGGGGGACCTGGAGGAGATCTGTAGAGTCAAGACATGTAGAGATAGTGGGAAGAGGGAAGAGATACTTGGGTGAGAGACCCATGGGGAAGCTGACGAAGGTAAGCTTCCTTTTGATTTGTCCTTCAAATTTTCTCCTTTAGTTTTCCTTGCAGACTTGCCCGGCCCCTTTTGCCCCTTCCCTATGGTTCTTCACCAAAAGGTGCCTTAGACTGACAAGATTTTGGGCCTCAGTGGCTCTGTTTTGGGCCAGCCCTGTTTGTCTACCCACAGGGAATGGGTAACTTCGAATGCTTCATTGGGAATCTATGTCCGTTCTCTTCTTTCTGCTCTACTCACACTCATTCTATTAAGGGTCTTTCACACTAAGCAAGTGCCTTATCTTTGTGTGACAGATGGCAGAACCCCTTTAGATCATACAAGTTTGGGGGTCCCTAGGTGCCCTCAGGGAACATGCTCACCTGTGGAATATCTTCAGGGCCTGCTGGCATGTCCATCAAGAAGTTGGCCATGAATTTCTCCTCCCGCTCTATTTATCCTCAGAATCCTGGTGTTGGGACAGAAGTTTATTAATACTGTGTGTGCGTGTGTCTGTATGTCTCCCTCTGTCTGTGTTCCTGGCATTCTTCCGGGCAAGCACATGTCATGTTTTATCTTGGAATTTTGAAAATAGATGACTCACGAGCACCATTGTTCCAGTGACATTTATTAAATCACTTTTGTTTTAAGGAATCTGGCACTCTGTAAATATCACTCGGTACTCAGTATTGCCACATGACAGATGGGTGTTTTCAGTAAACCTAAGAATAAGGCAATTAGCACCACGTGAGGTAGCCTAGGTGATCTGGTGATGGAGAAGGATGGAAAACTCGACAGGCTCGAGTGAAAGTGAACACAGATGTACACAGAGAGGGGCCGCTCACATTGTCCATATGTTGGACTATGTTTGTGAGCTCTTCTTTGGGACGGTGCTTTGGTTGTTATAAGTGTTATTCTGTAACTGAGCTGCTGGAGGCCAGGTGTCTCCCCGCCCCAGGTATTGTGCTTTTCTCACCTTCCCATCCCTGCCTGGGCTTCAGCATCTTCTGTTCCTGGGGCTGGCAGTGCAGGGAAGGACTTCCAGTGATCCTCCTTTTACTGTGGGATATGAAATTAGCCCCATACAAAGAAGGAAGAGACACCTTGAGAACAAATAGGATATTAAAACAAGAGCCCCGTTGTTCCTATCCATCTCTTGTTCTTCCTTCTCCATTCAATTATGTTCTACTTAGTCAATATCTTATCATCTGTTGATCATACCTGTACTGTACAATGGATTAAGTTCATAGCCAAATAGGATTTATCTATGATTACAAAGGAGTATATATGGTGACGCCAAATAGACATCTTCCTTTTGTTTTGCCTAGGAATTTATGCATAGCTGATATGAAAGAAAAACTTGGAAATGCTCTATAATATATTAACATTTAAGCTGAAATTTAAACTTATATGTAGCTGGACTGAATTTTTACATACTAAGATTAGGTTTCTTAAACAGTGGGGAATCTGTAAGAGATTGAGAACAGTGGTGTGTGTGTGTGTGTGTGTGTGTGTGTGCGCGCGCGTGCGCATGCGTGCATGTGCGAATGGCCAAGTCCTTTGTGGGGTATTTATTAAAGATGAATCTCTGTGGGATTCCTATTTTTGAAGGTTTCATTCATTTTCTGCAGCACCTGGATGGCTGACAATGTGATCATGTCTGCCATGATAAAGAACCATGTAGCAAATATGAAAATCACCTGCACAGCTGCCACAGGCCTGAAAGCAGACCCTCTCCCCACTGGCCTTTTCATGCCTGGTGGCAAGCTGGGGGTTGGTTTGAGGGTAGGTGGGGGCAGAGTTTGGATACCTGGTACCTTGTTAGGAGAAGGTCTTCCTGTTGAACATAGAGGTCCACTCAGATTGTTCAGTTGCCGGGATCTTTGGAGATCATTTTCTTCTGGTTTTCTTCCCTCTTACCCTACCAAAGACATGCCAGTATTTGAGTTTTCCTCTTAAAAGCCAGGGATTCCTACCCTCCTGTCACTGACTGATTTGTTTAAATAAGCTACACATTTGTCCCTTTCCCAGAGGCCAAATGGGAGGTATGTGGGACAAATTGGTATCAGCTACTTGGTCTGGCCACCCCAGTACTGGGGAATCATGGTGGCTGCATGAGAGCTTTTGTCTTGTTTCAGAATTATGTAGACGACATTTACTGGAACTTCTTTTTCTTTTCTCCATTTTCTTCTCCACCCCTCACCTCTCACTTTCCCTCTATTCCTATATTCTCTGCAGCTTTTAATGGTGTAGGCTAACACAGACAGCTTCCCCAGCGGCTCACCACTTACACACTCAGCCAGAGCCAAGGTGACAGAGATTAGTCTTGGTTCCACTGTTTATGAATGAAGAAGAGGTCCTTCCCCTCTGTTCCGGCCATCGCCCTTCTCTTTGCAGTATTTCGAGAATGAGGTCAGGGCCAGGGTTTAACTGCCTATGTGTCCGAAATAGCAGCACAGATCAAAATTAATCTTCAGCTATTTGTTTTGCTGCCCATTCAGATAATAGAGGAAAATACAGAGGTCTCTTTGTGTTTTTGTCAGGGATGTGGCAATGAATGAGTGAATGTGTGAGTGGGAAGAGACCCAGGTGAACCTGACAGGAGAATTAGCCGTGGGTGAATGTTAACTGCCAACTGATTGCAGGAGTTTCCTTGGCTTCAGTGGAGCATGTTTTAGTTTTTCAAACAAAGGAAAAAATAAACTGAGCTCCAGAGATGTATTATTTTGACACTTCCTTTCATAAGGCGAGTTTGTCAGGTGCTGTGAAACTGCACAGCCTTCCTTTTACAGTGTCCAGTTGTTTTCACCATCTGTTGCTTCCTCTGCCACCTACCATCCTTGTCCACTAGCTTCTTGGAGTTTTTGCAGTGTTTTAAATGAATATCTGTTGTGGATTTCATTTTCTATCAGCCACTTTGGCATATATACACAATACACAGTTCACACTCTCTTGGTCTCTCTCTCTCTCACACACACACACACACACACTCAAGGCTGGATCATGCCTAGTCTCCACATGCATTGGGAAGCATCTCTAACCACTCGCCAGGGCCTGAGGAATGTCAACCTGTAGTGTTCTGAGGAGGTGACACTGCTGACACCTGTCAGCCTGCAGTTCCTTCAGGACAGGAACATGTTTAAAAGGTATTTGTAGACCCCTGTCATTGTGTGTAACACTGCACCTTACTTTTTGTTCTCAAGCTTAGTTGTTGACTCTTAGTGTCTTTTCAAATGTTTGAACATCTTTCTTAGTTGTACTACAAGTCTCTTCTGTGAAAGATTAAATAAGCAAATTAGGATATTGAGTGAAGACAGAGTGTCAGTATCAGCCTGATTTGCTACACATTCCATGTTGATTTGATGGACTTTGGTGTGACAGGTACCCTTTGAGGGAGATGCCAAAACTGTCTTTTCTACCAATGGTGATTAATGCTGAGTGAAGCTTGTAAAGAAGAATAAGACTTTTCATATAACTGGCCAGATGCATTTCCTTATTTGACTTCCTGCACCTAAACTGTTTCTCAAAAACTTGAAGTGTTATAAACACACACACACACACACACACGTGCATGCACACATACAGAGACATTTGTACAAAATACCAAATGTGTGTGCTTTTAAAATGGTATTGCTTTTATAGAGACAGACGGAAATCAGTGATTGTCTAGGGCTGGGAGTAGGAACAGGGATTAGCTGTTAAAGGGCAAAAGAGATCTCAGTGGAATGATGAATAGATTCTGAAACTAGATGACAGTGACAATTGTGCCACTTGGTAAATTTACTCAACATCATTGATTGTACATTGACATGGTGAGGTTAGGTATGAAAGTTATACCTCAATAAAACTGTTTAAAATGGATAGTCCTGCCTTTGAATTCCTTTGGTCCCTAGGTTACATAAAATCCGAAAAATTGTATTACCCCACCCCCCAATTTATACCCAATTTTCTTACAGGCCAGAGGTGCAGGGGCGGTGAGGGGCTTCACCATAGACAGAGTGGGGAGCAGAACAGGCCGAGTGACAAAGTACACTGCTGAGGGGAGCAGTGGGCGGGTCAGGAGAGGTCTATCACGCCATGTGGGTCACCTCCGGGTGGGGGATTGAACTTGCACTGAGGCAGCTGCAGCTAGCTTGCAGTGCTGCACTTTAACCCGCTGCGCCACCAGGGAGGGCCGATAGCCATTTTTTTTTAAAGGACTTGTTAACTTCAGTGGTAAAGAAACAGTACCCTGAGAAAAATGGGCCAGATAAAAATCTCCTACCATAGGATGCAAAAGTCCGCCCTGACCTCTGTTGGCCAGCAGCAAGGTTGCTGCCCTCTGCAGGTCAGCAGCACACCTCAGTAGCATGTGAGGCAGCTGGGAGGTGAGTTTGCCAAGCAGATCCCAGGAAGTAGTGGGCCCTGTCTCTGAGCTGCTGCCACATGTGTCCAAAAGATAAACCAACTGCCCCGTATTCAGCATCTAAGTGATGGCATTTTTCTCTTCTTTTACAGGTTGTCTTAGTCTTTGCTCTCAGCATTGGTGCACTTGTAATATACTTCATAGATTCTTCAAAGTGAGTATGCATCTTGCTCTCTTTTCTAAAACAATCCTGAACCTTTGCGTTGATCAACTTACTTTACCACCAGCCTTTGAAAAGGCCTCCAACGTGTGGAAGCCTTCAAGGATGGCTGGGAAGTTCTGTGCTGGTTTTCTGAATGGCTAAGCACGTTCTCGCAAGGAAGGCTACTTGGATTTTGCTGGCCTAGGAGGGAGAGGTGTCTGAGGTTAAGACTTTTTGTGAGGTGCTATTAATTTTCAGATAGCTGTGTCTCGATGAAGTATTTGAACCAAAGAAGTCAAGAGGTTAAGAGGGCTTTGATGTGAATTTGCAGCCTCTCAGTGGGTTACAGTGTCCTGCCGGTAAAGGTCTGTTGCTGTGGTTGTAGGGTCCTGGTCTTGATAGGGTTTTGAATGCTTTAATCTCATCAGAGGATACTGTGATGCTGGCCAAACAAATGTTTACCCAAAGCACTGTCCACTTGATGCTTGTGAAGGTAAGGCAGGGGGATGGAGGAGACTGTGATGACTCACAGGGTGGGGCTGTCTAGAGTTCCTAAAGGGGACACTCATGCAGATCCCTTGGGCGCCAATTGAGTGACCTGGGGCTCTAGGGTGAGCTTAGGGTGGAGCCTGTGCATCAAATGGTGAAGACTTTATACGAAGCAGAAGGGAGCCCTGGGCAGAGCTGGTGGGTGACAGCCAGCTCTGCCATGGCCCCTGCAGGGGTCCCACCTAGGCATATCACTTCTTTCAGCCAATCTATTACCAGTTTGAACCTGCCAGTGTCTGGGAGACTTGGAGCTGAGCTGGTCTGACTTACCTTTCTGTGGGACCTTGAGCCTCTTGCTGGCACTGGCCACTGTGGAGTGTTTTCAGCAATTTGAACTCTAGCCCATGTATGGCTGGATCATAGAGTTTGATCCCAGGAAAAGTATTTGGTGTCTCTTTTGGCTCAGACCCTGGTTTGCCCAAATTCTGAGCTTCTGTCTTGTTTCTGTGGCTCAGGATGGGGTCATTTCATGCACATCTAAACCCTGAATTCCTCACAGCCATCTGGTTGTCAGCCAAAGGATTGTGTGCATTTGGTACAAAGGCCAAAATGACATGTCAGGGAAAATAAAGCAACATCTTCGCTAATCACCTGTCTCTGGGAGTCAACCACCTCTGAGGCTGTCAAGTCCTCAGACCTGCCGCCATGCACAAGGCTGGGCTTTACCTGTCTCAGGTGGAGGGTCATTGAAAGTCCCCAAGGAGATAAGATGTCACTCTCCTCCTGGCCAAGAAAAAGAAGAGCTTTTAAAGTTTGGAAAACACCAACTGGTATGGCATTGAAGGTAAGCCCCTTTTAAATATCTCCTCTTAATAATTCTGGACTGTATTTGAATTGAATCAAATAGCTAAAGTCTTGGGTCTTATTACTCCATTCTCTCCTCAGGAACGAGGATGTTCTCACATGTCACAGGTGCTGACTCCATGCTGGGGCTCAGGAGTCAGGTTTAGGCACGTAATCCACGTGCCTCAGCCCAAGCGAGCCTCATGTGGAGGTGAGTTTGGTGGTCGTTAGAAGGACAGTCGCCTCGGTGTCTTCTGTCCCGTACCATCCCGTCCCTTTCACTCCTCTGTATTTTCTCAGAAATAAAATATTCTTGTTAGATGGATTTTGAATTGTGTCCTTTTTTATAGTGTCTACTATGAGGCAGTTTTGTTCTGCCAGTGTTTTTGACTCCATGTGAGAGAATGGAAAAGGCTGGAACTCCCCCAGGCAAGATCCTCCTCCCTGGAGGCCTGCACCATCTCAGTGTCCTCTGGATTTAGTTAAGATTCTGCTGGGCCTGGGGAGACCAATCGTGGGGGTCCTCTTTGATTTCTTTTATATAGACTTGCAAAGAGTCTGCTCCAAGGGTGGACCTTCAGTCCCATTCTCAGCTGAGTAGAAGGCCAATAACCTTAGGTCTTTAGTCTCCCTGGGGATTCTTCGAGCCTAGTCCTACCCTCAGTCTCTCTTGTGTCACTCAGCTGTGTGACTTGACCTAACAAGACTTTGTTTGTAAGAAGAGCTTTATGTTTCTTTCTACTTCTCATTTGCATTATTTCATTTGGTGTGGAAACCTTGTCCCAGGGTTCTGTCCCAAGGGTGACCAATCGCCATAGACAGTACCATGAATTCCACCATTTTCCTGGGAAAGACAAGGCAAGTTGTTCTGTTTAAACAAGAAGAATTAAAGTAGAATATATAACCCACAGATTCCCAGAATTTTTTTTTTAAAAAGGAGTCCATTAGATGAATTATAATCAAACAGACTGTACTAGATAAAAAAAGAGTTCTATCCATATGAAGATGTGACTGGAAAGGGGGTAAGAAAACAGAGTTGAAATTCTTAAAACCCCTTCTTTCCATTCAAGACTGTTGCACATTCATTGTTGGGCGGCCATCTGGACATCTCAGAAAGAGAGCTTGAAAGTTCTCTTGGAAGTTATGTCAAATCCTTATCCTGGGAAAAAGTGCTCAGTGTTCTTCAGATAAATCCAAAGACTATCAGTTTTCCTTTGCATGAACTTAAGTGTCCAGGAAATGACTTGCCTTGGTGAAATTTAACCAGATCTGGACTCCCCCAAATGTTCGGAATGTTTTCATGGCACGAGTTCAAGATGGGAGTCTCGCTGCTCCTCCCTTCGACATGTGTGAGGAATGCAGGCAGTTCATGAGCAGACGCCAGTGGTGAGCTCTGCAGGCTGCAGCTCACGGCAGGCATTCAGGTGTTTGCTGCTCACAGGTCACCTGAGAGGCTATTCTACCTCTGTGCACCAGCAAATGGGGAAGGCGATGCAGGTACATGCTGTAACTGGTGGATTAATCTATTTCACTTTCAAAGCTTATTTCATTACGCAGAGGCAGTGGGTAAGTCCTCTCCAACTACGTCCTCTCCAGCCTAGTGCTTTCCCCTGTTGTTAGATCAACATAACCTAACAATTGTTTTCCTGAGCAATTGTTTTCCATTCAAGGGTTTGAGACACCCATCTTTGTGGGTCTTAATTTTCTTAGAGTGATGACTATAAGGCAGTCATTTGGCTAACCTCAAGTGATTACTATTTAGCAGCACAAATTGTCTTCAAAACCTCTGGAGTTGAAAACCAAAGAGAGTCACATTACACTGTGTTAACGTGAGGCTCGGTCATCCCAGCAGTAGACTCTCTAGAAACATTTGAGCAGGGCAAGATGTTCCACCAAGTCTCTGGACAGGGAGATGTCAGCTCCTGCATAGACATGGAGTACATGGAGCTCCTGCATAGACATCGAGTACATGGAGCCACCCTACTCAGTAGTCCTCCTGATTAACCTCATAATCAGGTATTGTCTAAAAGACTCCCATTTCTTTTTCATGCTTTTTAAAAGCACCCACTCCTAGTTCTGATGGCTCTTGGTGGCTATGCCAGTTCCACCACACTTTGATGCTTGTGAAGCAAAGATTTTTTTAGAAAAATGACAACCAAGTGCAAAGTACCCCTTGATGCCCTGTGGTTGACAACGTCCTCAGACTGGTTCCATCCCTGTCTATTCCTTACTTTGACACAAAACAGTGAATCTTCTCCAATAGATAAGGAGAAGAGGTGGGACCTCACTTATCAGAGTGAGGGTAGTATTCACGGATTGCATAATGCAGCAGTTCCAGATGCTTCTAGAATGTCAAAAGAAAGTTGGAAGCGACAGAGGCTCAGGGCCCGAGGTATTTGCATTTTCTCCAGGGGCATTCTGGGAAAGGATGACTCATATATGTGGAGATATTATTCTTTTGATTCATGTTTAAAGTCTGCTACTTCTTATGCTACAGTTACGTGGACCATGAATATTTAATACTGAGTATACTGAAAATGAAGGTCAAGTCCTGCTCACGGGTTACTTCAATGCAGGCTCCTGTCTCTGAAAGGCAAGCTACCTGCTGTTAGTAGAGTAAAGCTTAAAGGTTATACATTGTTAAAATTTTCCTTAATGACTTTATCTGCTTCAAAATGACTGGTACACAGTGAGGGCACCTGCTGCTATTGCCTTCCTTTGCTCTGGGCTTCTGGTATTAGATCAGCAGTGCTGTTTGGGATATGGACATTAGGAAGGGGGAGGGAGCAGTGCGAGAATTCTGGACATCTTTCCAAGAGTCTAATTCCCAGGCAATAGTGGTGTTATGACTCAGAAAATGGCCTTCCCCTGTCTGTGAAATTTTATCTTTGTATTCAGAGATTCATTTATTTTATATTTATTCATTCACTTGAAATGAATATCACTGTGATAATGCTGAATACTTTCCATACAGTAACATTGCTTATGTTTATATCTGGCTAAGGAAAATGGTCCTGAAGATTGCAATAGAAATTGACAAATGACAGCTATAATGGGGATATCCAGGGCTTTTGCCTAACTGTGCAGTCACCCGCATAGTAACCAGCCCTAATCTTAATCCAGTGGAACTCTAAGCCCTCAATTTAGAAATTATCCTTCAAATGGGAGGAGAGGGCAGGTATTGGAGGAAACTAACATTCCTTAATTATGTACATTGTGCCAACCGTAGAACTAAATTAAACACTTTCAAATAAATAACACCTATGATCTCATCAAGCTCTCCCAACAAATCAATAGGGTAGGTTTTTCTACTCCCATTTTACAGATGAGCAGGTAAGACTGCAATATTTGCCCCAAACACACAGCCGATGAATAAGGGAGCCAGGACCCGAATCCAGGACACCTCAAGGCGCCTCTTTTTCAAATGTCAAGAACTGAAAAGTCAGACTGTGGAAGTGACTAAGCGAGTTTATTGAGATATAAGAACGCTAAGTTGCTTAGCTCATCCTGTTAACTCATCCGTCTTGCTTTCCCTTTCCTTCTCCAGCTCCCTCTTTCTCACTTTTGGGACCAGGTCTGCAAGTCAGCATTGCTTACTCTGGTCATATTACAGGCTTTGTCCCTAGGAGAGGAGACATGTGAGATATTTCCATGGGACCTATCCTCCTTGCTGACAGTTT